AACTATATTTATATTTAAAAGGAGCCCCAGTGATCGGAATTTCAGCCGGAACTTGTTGAACATCTAGGCTTGTTTCATTTGGGGCTATTGCATTGCAGTAAGTCCTAGGCGGAAGGGAAAATAATATGGTTCACCGACTGTGAGGTTAACTACCTCACGGTCTGTATCGCCGTCGTGACCTTTAGATCTACGAAATTTGAGATAGCGACTCGACACCTGTTTGCACCCCTCAGATACCTGTCACTACTGTCACTGCAACTCTCTCCAAACGAAAACAAAATACGAAAAATGTCGGGAATGTATAATTTTAATCCTTCTAATTTACTATTTAGATACATGTTTTAACTTTAAAGTAATTATATGTATCTCATGTTCGAAATTGTACAATTGGTATCTATGATGCTGGTACCGTCTTGTCGCTATTGTGTAGCTTTTGTGGAGTTATTATGAGTAGCAAATACATGTCTTGAAATATTGACTTGTAAAAGAGCTCATCATTGAACCATATGCAGTCTAACCCATTTAATTGGCGTGTATAGTTGTATTATCCATCTACTTATACACACTTATCATGGACATATACAGAATTCCATTGTACAATAATATTTAAAAAATTATCCGTGAAAACTATCCGGGTTAGAATAGGCCTTCAACAACCCATGCTTGAACGTAGGCGACTAACTAATCGGGTGGTCAGATTCGCTGACTTGGTTGATGCATGTCATCGTATCCCAATTGCGTAGATCGGTGCTCTTGATGTCAATTACTGGATTGTCTGGCCCAGACTGGATTATTTACAAACCACCTTCATATAGCTGGAATATTGCTGAGTGCGGCGTTTAACAAAAACAATCAAACAAAAACTATTATTAAACACCTTCCAACAATGAGAAATTAAACTCTTATTGTCTGTATATTTAGTTTTATTGATAAATTTATTGGATTCATAATTTAATCATTGCTTTGTTTTCTTGTCTGTCATTCACACATGTCATTGTCTGTCAATGCACGTGTTAAAAGCCTAAACTTTGAACATTTGATTTTTCACAAATGGTTACGTTAGTGAGTTGTCTCGATCTCTGGTTAGCTACTCACACGAACAGATTAAAAATAATTTGCTTGTACTATCAAATTTCAGTATATTTAATTCATAATAGGAATTTTATAATTCAATTATCACATTATATATCACATTCGTTTATATCACTTTCTGATGTGAAGGTTTTATTTCAGAAATTATAATGAATTCAAAATGTAGATAGATACACAATTTGCCATTACATCAAATGCAATATTTCTCAACTTTTAAACTATACATAGTATAATATCATGATTAGAATGCCTTTAACGGGCAGTGTTTAAGAAAGAAATATTTGTCGATTAGTCCAATTTTTCAGATATGCACTTCAGTAGCATTATTGTATATCTCCAGATAGATGTTTACATTGTAGTTCTCATTATTTGTGGATAATTCAAGAAGCAACATAGAAAATCATTATTCTACCATAACGAAAGAATACAGTATACAATAACTCGTAATTGTTCAAAAAGAGATTTCAAATCACAATAACATATCTGATATAAACAGACTTGTATGAGGTGGTAATACTTTAATCTCTACATTGTGCTCTTGTTCTTCACGAGCCCTTGTTCTATTCAGCAAACAGCCCAAACCCGAAACTCCACAGCAAATAAAAATGAGTTACGAAATAGAAGACTAACATGCCAATTAAAAGATAAAGAGAAAAAAGTGCGTTATTGCAGCTTCTGATTTTATACCTCTTCAAGAAGGATTATCAATAATGGAATGGCCGAAGATTTCAACTGCATGCCGAGTCTATATGCTGTGATGAACAATAATGCTCTGAGTCAATACATTTTGTCAAATTATGACATGTATTACCTGTAGGAACATATTGTTTATACGTCATTTCAAGAATACAGTCACGTGAAAAACGTGATGTGACCGACCTCTTGTCCTATGGAAAAAACCGTATGTCGTGCAAATTGCACATTAAAAAATTAGTTACTGTTATTACCAAATAAAACACAACCCATTATCTCATAGAGGTAACTTTGCATAGCGGAGGGATATGTTATCTCAATAAACTTGCTAACATGGTTTGATTTGACTTCTTGCCGCGTTTCTGGATTCCATTAACATATCCTAAAACTGACTTCTCAGCAAAGCTCGCTGCACTGCGCGCGACAGATACTATAGCAAGGCATGCCAGAAATACGAAACCTAATTCTTTCTAAAGGATGTCTTTGGTATCACGTGCGTCGTGGGATCAGCGCCATCTGATTGAAGTTAACAAAAAGCATCGTTTTTCCGTCCATTTTACGCTTGAAAAACTCTTTACGCTTTTCCGGACACTTTCTGGACGCTCACCAATAAATAAATGTTCATGAATTTTTAGTCGTTTTTTTCCCGACCAATGACAACATACGACGTTTCGGTATTTGCAGTGAAAGCAGAAACCTCCAGAAGAGGTTGTATAAACTTTCAAATTGTTTTAATATTGATTAATTGAAAACTTCAAATAGAAGTAAACGATCAGGTGGATATAATTTTGAAACAGTTGTCTTTTTTTCACAATTATGAATTCTAATGTCTTTGCCGAATACATCCGGTTCCAACGCACAGTAACAACGAATTTTAAATAATTATACACATATGACAAGCTGGATGATTTTCAATGCATTTTAACCTTATATACCAGCAGCAAGGTTCTGATGCAAGGTTCACTAAGAAATGACAGTATGCATCAACTGATGAACTCTTGAAATATAATAATTGATTTCAAAAGTATATACTCGGAATGATAATGGACAATAATACACTAAGACACCGACCATTTGATATTTGTGTTTCCTGCATGTTTTAAATATTGTCCCAGAAAAGGCTTGAAATAAATAGATGTGCTTTGGAATGTTTAAAATAATACAGTCAGTCACAGATAATATTTTTTTCCATTTGGTTCTTTTTCCAAAATATATTTAGCCTCTCAGTTAAAAAATACCTTTTTTTCAGCTGTTCCTGAAGCAATATCTACTCTCCACACAAAATCCTAGGCCTCCTCCAGAATATCAAATGGTTGGTCCCTAAGTCCAACTGGATATCAAACACCACAACTCTCAAAGAATGAAGCATTTAAACTACGTTGGCAACCCTGAGAGCTTGCTTCTGTAGTCAACGCTTGTTGACATATGTGATATCAAACAAGACACTTCCTTGTAGGACAGATTGGTTGAAGCTTTACCTCGTCACCCAGAAGACCGGGCTCCCGATCCCCATATAGTCACATTTGAATTGAAGTCAATATATGAAATTGATATTTTTCTGCTTTCAACACATTTGTCCCTTAATCCCTGGAAAGAAGAACAGCTGCTTTAGTAAGGTTGATTTTCTCTCGATGATCTGAGAACTGTGATCCATTGATGTTGTGCGCTCAACGTCGAATGCAACCTACAAAAGCACATTATCCTGTAACATTATATTTTTCTTTGACATCTGCCATACAACCCCTTCTTGAATATATCCGACCTAAGTCTATAAACCTCACACCTCCTCATTCATCGTTTGTGGTCTTATAAACAATGTTACGTCTGCGATATGATTAACAAATTGTTATTTGAGGAACAGATTTCGCCGAACACAAAGTGTTGATCATGACGATCCACCCCAAGCAGGATGCCCTTTTTCCGCAAAACCTGTTCTGAATTCTCTCATCAGGCACAGTGACTATGCTTTTCGTTAGAGGCGACTAACGGGATGGGGTGGACAGGCTCTCTGACTTGGCGGATGATGTCATGATGCCAATCACTGGATTGTCTTATCCAGACACGAACATTTACAGACCATCGCCATAAAGCTGTAATATTGCTGACTTTCACAACAAAGAAATAAACAAACGGCCAATCATCAAGACTTATTCCCAATGAAATATGTGACAAACTGCCAATAACATAGCAAATCAACCACGCAGGGTACCTGGTCTTTCTGAGCGTATGTTTTGGAAGCGTATAAGCGTATGTTTTGATGTAAGTTAGATTTAGATTTGTATGGCTCCCTTATCAATACAGATCAACTCATAAAGTTAAAAAGTCGGACTCACTTGAGACATCAGGTTGTCCAAATCTTTTCGATGGGCATACTTTGAGAATTCACGCACAAGATATTTAATGAAATACGATCCATCGTTTTCATCCCTCAGTGCCCCGTAACCTATAACAGAAACGTGATAGTTGCATCTTTCTGTGTGTGTATACTGACATATATGTACATGTGCAGGCGTGACAGTCACACATTCGTGATACTACATTTACGTGATACAAATCATAACCAAATTTTGCTCTTATATATGAACATTGAAAATCAGTGATGACACCAGGTGTCCCGGAAAGGGTAAGCACGTCCTGTTCTACAGGTACCGTTGATATATTTCTAAGAGGCCGCAGAAAATATCAAGAGTAGCATTCTTAATATTTACGTGAGAATATGAATATGAGTAAGAGGGTGAAACGCCGCGTCCAGACAGCAATGGTACAAAAACTTGATAATGGTACATAATATCAGTGGCAGGGAGGACTGTTGGATATTTGAAATGGGAGGATGAATTTATAGTACTTGTCAATACTAAAGTGTTCACAGGAGGAACCAAGTGTACTATGTGAACATGGCGTAAACCAAACACCTCGAGGCACTCCTTCAAATGAAATTACAAAACCATGGGTAGCCATGATTGGATATACCAGGCACGGTTGCTGAGGTCCAGTAAAAGTTTGCTTCTGGGTGTTATTTGGATTGTTTGCCAGTAGTCACTGCGTGCAAAGCCGGACCTGAGAAAAAGAAACTTACTGTTTTCATATATTTCAACGCTTCCTTTATCTTCAGATGTCCATTCAGCCAAATTATCTTAATTGTATAGAGGGGTTAATATCATACATTGTTGCAATTAGGGATTCAAAATAATAGATTTGTAGCTCACTCGCCTTCCTGAGGTAATTTGCCTGGTTTTTCAGGCGTCACATCGGGCGAAGTCGGACCTGAGAAAGAAAGAAATTAGTGTTTTCTTATTTTTCAACCGATCCATTGTTTTCAGCTGTCCATCATGACTAATTATCTTGATTGTATGGAGGGGTTATTATTAATGCATTGTTGCAATAAAGGATTCACAATGATATACTTTTATCTGACATGCCTTGCTGACAAGCTTGAATAAAGAAGATCTTCGGTTTGTCCTTGTGAAGTATCAAGCGTTCATCCAAAAATATATTCTTGATTTTTTCTATAGACACAGAGTCGCCATCTGTGCCGACTACGCCACCTTTTATGCCATGTGATAAAATGGCACTAGCGAAGCAGCGATAGCCACTCTTTTCAAACGCTTCGACTTGTTGCACAAATTTGTCCATTATGCCCTGAAAAGAAGGAGCACCATTAACATTGCTTTGTCACAAACTGTGCAAAACAAACAGTTCATAAACTAGAAAAAACAAATTTCAAAGTTTAAGACACCTAATGAATGTGTAATCAAATTATATACTTAAAGGCTGAATTCAAAAACATGGTCAAACTATGAGCTAGTCGTTGACCTGCAATGTAAGGTTCACCAAATGTCTGTTCTGTTTTTTTAAATTTCATTTCAAACTCAACTTGTGAAGATGGCCTCATTAACAGTTCATTCTATACATCTCTATTTAATGTTGCTTTAGGTCAGGCATTAATGTGATACACCCAAAAGAGTACCACGTGTCAATGTTACCGTTAGGAATTGGCTTCTTCATTGGTTTTAAATGTTGAAACAGAAGGCTCGTATATCGTAGTGTTAACAGTACTTATAAATTACCGTGTTTCTGTTTCTCATTATGCATATGTGAGATTTATGACCGGTGATACATGAACGCAATAAATGTATATGAACGCAATGACTTATGAATCCATCTCTCAATAAAACTATAAACTCAAAGCAGTACCTGAGCTGTCAGATTGTTCTCCGTTTCAACTTTAAATCCAAACTGCTCAAACAATGTTTTCAGGGACTTTGCGTCTTTACAACTGCTATCTCTGCTGGAATATTTTTTGGAATCTGTAAATTCGTAGTTGTTGATGATGAACAGGAGCCCTTTTTGATCGCCACTCATGTCATAAACCTGTAAATATCAACATGAAGAAGCAACCATTATGTGTTTTTCCATTATGTTTAAAGATTTTGTAAGGGCAAAAGAAATGTGGTTAAGTCGTATAGGTCGTCGCATGCCGGGTTGACTTGTCCTAAAGTTATTTGTATATATACATTCCTGTATATGCAGTATGGGTCATATTACCCGTGCTCATGGGTTTCACCATATTGGTAAACGTCTGAGTCCTGCATCTGTTTAGATTTCCTTCCAAATGAAAGTTAAACGCAGAAACCGGAATACTGTTGAAAGCGACGTTAAACCAAACACACTCACTCATACATGGATTGTGGTATATATCTATCTTGACTTATCTGGGCGATCATGGACTATTACATCACAAGATGTCATTATAGTGTAAACAAGAGGCTCGACAGGACCGAGTAACAGTAACAGGTGTAAAGTACTTACGTTTGAGAGGCGTTTGGTTTTCACGTAATCCGGGTCACAGAGGTTCACCTGAGCTGCAATCAAGTAGCAAATATAACAGTTAATATTAATATAACATTTCCGAAAATGAAATATTTGTTCTTCCACTAATATAGTCTTATTTATAAGATAAAAATAGACGCCGCAATATTCAAAAGTGGTAGATTTTGCGAATCACTCCGAATATTTGAGTATTACGAGGTATCCATTTCTAATCTGGAAAATATACACTCGTGAATGGTGTTTAATTTTCTTTTAGAAAGTAAAGTTCATTTCAAAACACTTTTCAAGTATGTATTTGTTCCATCAGTCAACCAATATATTGTTTCCTTATACTGAAAAGAATCAAATCTATTTTCGTGAAACATATTTTAACGAAACGAAATTTAACTGTTTATTTCATAAATCTGGTGAAAATACTCATGAAGTAAATCCTGTACTATACAAGTTTCATTTTCTCCATTCTATCGCAATGACAAAATGGTCTCTATCGACTCAAACAACCAAGAGGTACTGTGCCTAGGTTGCAGGCGCATCTGTTTTATTATGATACTGCAATAAAAAAAGTGTATAATCAGTCTCTATTATCTGCCAAAACAGATCCCATTGGGCATAAAATGGGGCAATAAAGTGGTGTAAATTATGTGAAGGGATCATTGAAAACCGGGAAATCATGTTTACAACACATGTTGAACATGGAAGACACAAAAATATCATGACAGAAAAACAACATTTAACATGCCAGTTTCGAAAGACCCTGTTGGTTTGTTTGTTTGTTTGTTGTTGTTTACCGCCGCACTCAGCAATATTCCAGCTATATGACGGCGGTCTGAAAAATAATCGAGTCTGGACCAGACAATCCAGTGATCAACATCATGAGCATCGATCCATGCAATTGGGATCGATGACATGTATCAACCAAGTCAGCGAGCCTGACCACCCGATCCCGTTAGTCGCCTTTTACGACAAGCATAGTCACCTTTCAAAACAAGCATGCATGGGTTGCTGAAGACCTATTCTACCCCGGAATCTTCACGGGTCTGGTAGCGAGTGTTGTCAGAAATGATTTTAAGGCGTTTTTCAGCCAGTATTATCAAATTCTCTTTATTCGCTGTGCATATGGTTAACCAGGCATAAAATCACATCCATCCAAACAGAACATTGATGGACATTTTGCCATTTTGAGGAATGTATGCGAAATCTGCAATTAACCATCAGTGCTCACTTGCACGAAGCGGTCTTAGCGCTAAGACTATCGTAAGTAAGCCTAAGTATGGGAGTTACGATCATCTTAGCGCTAAGAACATTTTGTGTAAGTGGGCCCTATAAAAACTGATACCTTGTAGATGTTTGTTTGTTGTTTAGCAATATTCGAGCTATATTCCAGTGATTGACTTCATGAGCATCAATCCACCAAATTGGGATGCGATGACATGCATAAAAAATGTCAGCGAGTCTGACCACCCGATCCAGTTAGTCACCTCTTACGACAAGCATAGTTGCCTATTCGAAGTAGATGTAGATGTATCCGATAGACATAATAAGACATGTGGACGGCACCGTTTCGAGTGAAGCCGTCTGTATGTTGCTCTGTCCTCATGACAGTAAATAGATGTTTCCGTCTTGTTACCAGGATTTTGTGGCAGTAGCGGGGTTCGGACTTAAAGGTTTCAAGTGAAGAGCAACCTGATGGGGATAATATAGAAGAATGCAGGTTTTTATTCGGACAAATATGATATCAGTTTGTTTGGCACTTTACCATCAAGTTTCAAATTTTCGATGCGCCGTGTTACATCCTGTTCCTTTTGCCATTTAATATAGTCCTCAATCTTTCTCTTCGTTCTCGTTTTGGCTGATGGATCCCAAAGTAAGGACTCAATAGATGCCAGACCTGATAAGTTTGGAAGTCCTTTTTCAGTGCAAAGGGGTCGAATATAATCCATGGCCTCTGTGATACGAATTTTCGCAATTAGTTCGTCTTTAGTGAATTTTGCTACCATGTCGTTGGTTGTATTACGTGTTTGAACTACTAACACAAGCCAGCATAGTGAGGCAATTCTACCAGGTTTCTTAACAAGACCTCCGCCAAAACACTCGTCTGTCTGCAGACGGACATCAAGGTTTGTTTCCGAAGTCATTTCGGTCAATATGTTAAAAGCTTCCTCCTGGTCGTCCTCCGCATATATTAAAGCAACATCATGCGTTCTTCGCAAACACCACTCTAAGTCAGGCTCATCGGAAGGTGAAGGATTTGGACTGCTGGATGGAGATGATGGCAACGAGGGCATCTTAAGGTCAAGCTCACATTCTTCCATCCTTTTCTTTCACTGCAAAAACACCAACAAATATTTGCAAACCCACGTAACGGTTGATATCGGTATAAATACCAAGAATATCAATGTATAAGACTTCCATGTAATGCTCCACAACGAATGAAATGTGTCTATTATGCGTATATGATATGATGTAAGTATATCATGAGAATGCAACGCGATAGGGATGTAGTGAGTGAGTGAGTATGGTTTTACGCCGCTTTTTGCACAATTCCAGCAATATCAAGGCAGTGGACACCAGAAATGGGCTTCACACATTGTACCCATGTCGGGAATCGAACCCGGATCTTCGGCGTGATGGGCGAACACATTAACCACTAGGCTACCCGACCGCCCCCGATAGGGATGTAAGTAGGTCTTGCATGTGCATGTACATGTGCATGTGCTTACAAAATTGGCTCGCAATCCGGAAACACATCTGTATCATTGTAACATCGAATTTATTGATCAACGCCACACACATTAACAGCAGTGTAAACTCTTCGAATATTTGCAGTTTACACTTTCTTCACATGTTATTTCACAGAGCTATTATCCCTTGTCATAATGAAGGAAGATAACTCATTGGTAACCTTTGAACTCATACATTGCTGGACATTTTGTATTTCAGAAAGCTGAACTACACTGGTTCTATACATGTACATGTCTATACACTTTACATATGTATTTAAACTCTATTATTCTATTAACTATCAAGTGCAGTACTATCCTGTGTTGACATGGCAGCAAACGCGCTATTGCCGGCTCGCTTGTAAATACTTCCTTGTTTCGTTTTAGTTTTCATAGTCGGGACAGAAGAAGCTGTGTAATGCTATGCTGTGTGGATTGAAGTAAATTTACCATCACACATCACATGGATGTCTGAGGTTGAACTCTCTCCTAGGCAGGATAACCTGTCAGGTCAACCGAACGTGTATTAAGAATCACAAATTGACACTACTGGGTGGAACTACGAACACGACATCACAATCTTAATTATGAGGCGAAATCTAAACTTAAAGTTTACTTCCCAGGTGAGGATCTATACATTAATGTAAGAACAATGTGAAAGGTGCTTCCCATAAAATAATAGTACGTACATAATCACCTTATTGTATCCGTAATGAAGTCACACCTCTCGAGTGCAGGACGCCTGTCATATGTAGGTCAATCGATAAGCCTTCACGGTGTAAGGACGCAGCGGTACATCTCGTTAATGCATTGTTGAGGCGCATGACACTGAGCGTCACATTTCCAGCAAAATTGTTCACATCAATTTCATGTTGCGGTTACGGGGATCCTAACTGCTAACCAGGGCGCAGGTGGCAAAGGCTTACTCAGGCTCTTGCCAAACCATAATAAAGTCATATACCTCCTCCCGTTAACACCACAGGGCCTAGTGATCACAATAAGTCTGTAATCTGAAACCACAATCTCGTTACGTATTCGTTATTTTAAATAGGAAACAAAATGTACAAACATGCTGTTAATCTACGTTTCCGGATACAACATATGTACATGTACCTCCCCGGCATAAGGGAGGTTATCTGTATTATCGTGTAAACAGCTTGGAAACCGAGTGGCACAAATCGGATGTTTTCGCATCTATATAACAAAAGCACTAGGACTAAAATAAGTTTTTGTTTCTGCCATCCGTTATAGGTTTCGAAAACGGGGCCTTATTATACGCTCACACATCATACATATAATAAACACACTCGTAGTGAGTGAAGATGCAGCTTCTGTGATGCAAACCAATGAATAACAGGTTAGATGTTTAACGTCGCGTCCCATATTATAGCACTTATATAGCGACGTTCATGCACGTGTGTGTGTGTGGCTGTTTGTACTACTCCGGACTGATGCCGATTTATAGTGCTACTAGCCCACTGAGATATCAAGCTGACGTTTACCATAACTACCCAACGCAGACACAGTATACTGAGCCGACCAGTCCTTGTTTTAGCCCCTTCATGCTGAGCGCCTGACAGGGTACCATCAAGTACCATCTTTTTACGTCTTTAGGTATGACGCGGCCGGGGATCGAATCCCGGACTTTCTGCTGTCCGAGTGGACGCTCTAACACCAGACCACGGAGGCGGTCCAATATATAACAGAAGAAGGTACACATACATTAAAGTTGATCGTAAGCTAAATAAGAAGTTGAAGCAAAACCTACTGATTTCCAAAGGACAAGACGACATGGATGTTAGGGGGAAAAGCGATAACACTAAATCCATAATCATAAGAAATATCTGTTAAAACCACAGTCTGTTTTAAACGTTTGCAACTATATTATCAACATGTGTTTATGAAACACTATCAATTAGTGATGATACCAGGTGTTCGCGAAAAGGCGTTCCGTATCCTGCCTCACTGGTGACACCCTTCACAAACGAATGCAAAGCCAAGTCAAACGCGTACATGAATAGAAGTAAAAAAATTAAAAGAGCTGCATCTGACATGAATTATGTCACTGATGCGTTAAAATATGGAGATGTCCTCCACATGTCTGCCATCAAACGTTGCATTTTATATTATAATTAAGCCTATACATGCTGTAACCCTGACAACCCAACAAGCAGGAATTTTATTACGCTTTTGAAGTAATATACTTACACAACAAAATTTGAAATTATTAAAGATATATGATGAACAAAAGATCAGGTGTAGGGAACAGTGAGGCCATCTTATGACAAAGGTGCAACACAGAACAAAATGATCCTATTATAGGTAATACGTACGCACAGTGAATGAGTGATTTGGGATAAAGGGCAACACAAATCGAAAAATTTAAAGGATGGAGACTATTCTTTAGGCACAAACAGTAAAATATCGTGTCTGGAAACCTCACCTTCAATGTACTGTTGTGGGCGTCTACAAACATACATAAAATACTAAAAGAAAACACACGAACATAGATGAATCCGGATTGATCTACGGATGTAGTTAACGGTTTATAATCTTACGTGATTTGCTGTAGGAATGGTAAGAGCCCTGTTTGCTTATCAATATTTTCGGAATTAGTAACAGCTCAAACGTAAAGCATATACTTATTAGAATTGTTAGAGAATATAAAACGTCAACGCCAGACAATAATTATTCTCGCTTATCCATTCCATTGGGCGTCAAAGGCCAAGCCGAGGTGAACACTGTAATAATTGTACGGAAGCCTTTTAGGTCCATTTTTTAAGTTTGTATCTTGAAATTTCAACTGATTATCTTGAAATTTCAACTTAGTATCTTGAAAAGATTTCAACTTAGTATCTTGACCTGAAGCCTCTGATTAACCATTAGAATGGAGTCTTTTACAAATTAATGGTGGAATTTTCATTAACAATCGGTACATTTCGAATGCGACTTAAGTGAGTGGTTAGCAAACTTAGTTTAACTCCACTTTGAAAAGTGTCTCAGCTGCAATGGGAAAGCCCGAGGTGATGCAGCGTGTACAACGTATGACTACGGGTATGGCACTCACGAATCGACAAACATAATCATGACGATTTGGGTTTGGAACCCACGATTATAGCGATCTACGAATTCCTAATTTGGGGATGTCAATGGACTCTCTTTGCTGAATGTAATTGTTTTGCTGTACAGGGTAAACATACACATCTATGACGCGAAACAGCTCATCTGATATTATTTCATATTCAAAATATGATTGTGGAAAGGTTATAGGCGTGTATTCATTGCAATAGCTCACCTTCTGCAGCACAAACCCCGGAACCATGTTGGAACCGATTATGGTCAATCGAGTCGCAATTAAGTTTAAGTTTTTAATGTTGTAATGTGTTGTTACGTTAATTATTCGTACAACAGTGATAGTATTCTATATTGATCTGATACTTCTGATGATAGTTTCCGTGATAGTCAGTGTCTTTTGGTATAATATACTAATCATTAAAGCAGTGAGTGAGTTGGTATGGTTTTACGCCACTTTAAGCAATATTACATCTTATGGCGGGGGACACCAGAAATGGGTTTCACACATTGTACCCATGTCAGGAATCGAACCCGGGTCTTCGGTGTGACGGGCGAACGCTTTAACCACTTGGCTACCCGACCGCCCAAATCATTAAAGGAGCAGAACTCCTACACATGGACCTTCAGGGGAGTTTTTTCGACGAGAGTTGTTTCGTAAAGTTTTAAAAGACACGAGGGCTAAATCTTATTTATAATCATTCTGAAATATTAATTGCAATAGTTTCTATTTTTCAAGTTAATGTTTGGGACAATCTGCATCAGATTCCTCATAACCAAAGCGTTCGATAATTTTATGTTTATATGAGGATAAGATGGGTAGGTGTTTGCGAGCACCATTTCGAGAAACCTGGTGTCATCATTATTTGACAGTATAAATACATGTTCATGATATTGTCGGAATCGTACAAACGACGATTATGCAAATATTTCTATTGGATATTGAAAGGGTTTTATCACTTTATTTGTGAGATATAAACACTACAGAGTTAACAGATTCCAATGGATGAGCCGCACCCATATGAAAAAAACCATAACTATGTTTGTGGTGCTGACAAACCTAGAAACAGCATCAGGGCGAACATGAGCTTCTGGCTGTCCTACGAGACCCAACAGTGTACAGCAAATTGCACCGTCACTGTTGTATGCTAAACACTTATTAGGGCATTTATGATTGGCTGTGCACTGGATTTAATTTTATCTGTCAGGAAAATGTGACGTCGTGTTACTTCTGGGTATGTGTAGTGCATTTATTGAATCTATCTGGAGTCTAAAGGATTCGTCGAGCATGGATGTTAACAGGTTTGATTTAAACATTTTATTGCAAAAATTCAAATAGATAAGGCACACATTAGTTAAACACATTACAATGTGTTTGTGTGTGTGCGTGTGCGTGCGTGCGTGCGTGTGTGTGTGTGTGTGTGTGTGTGTGTGTGTGTGTGTGTGTGTGTGTGTGTGTGTGTGTGTGTGTGTGTACGTACGTACGTGCGTATTAGTTCCTTTCAGTTTTCCTTTTATATGTCCAAGAAAGTGTATTTCACAATTACTGATCTACACATGCAACAACGGATTTTTCATGTTGCAACCGAGGTCGTCAGAAATTGTTAAGCAGAGGTTACATTTTCCTTTGTGTAGCCTGTGTTGTAGCTGTGGCAACGGACATATATGTACAGTACAATATGTTACCCCAGAACGCGTTAATAAGGCACTCATGGCTGAGGAACAATCGGGGAAGGTAAACACTTCGCGTCATGCGCGGTACCGTGTGTAAGTAAAAATTACAACGCCACAGAATAATCTTTTTCGATTATACGCCGAAACAGATTCCATTGGATGTAAAAGGCAAAATGGTGGTGAAAGTACCAACTTTGAATGAGCTTATAAAAAAGAAGGGGATACTCGGAAACAACTTGACATTTAAAAAATTGCTAGCCATATTAGTTTCTTGTAATAGTTGTGAGATAATAATGAAGAAATTACACCTGATAGTGAAGTATGAAAGTAGATATTATGATCGCCAACGATCCTTTCGGACGAAAAGGATAAGATGGGAAAGTTGACATGTTTGGCCACGATTTGTCATACATTCATTCACAGGACGAGGCAATAAAGTCAGTCAATGACGATTTGAGGCATTCTGTCCCACTCCTCTTGTAGCGCCTGGCCAAGTTCAGCCAACGTAGTCTGTGACCTATAACGTTGACGCACACGTCTCTCTATCATGAACCGGACGCGATCAATGGGGGCAAGGGTTGGGCTCATTGCTTGCCTTGGCATTCTATGGCTGTTGTCCTGCTGGAGGTGAGCGCGGGAGTTGCCCAGTGACACTTCGTTGCACAATATGGTGTGGTGTTCAGTCAGTCATTGTGATTCCACCCCACACCATGACCGGTTAAATCTGTTATGAGACCACAAGTTGACTTTGGCTTGACGTTCATTTTGACGTCACCAGACACGACCACGCTTACCATGACCAACGACGATTACACTAGTTTCGACGTTGTATACACCATTTACGTCTGTTACAAATATTCTCCTCAAAAAAAAGAAACTTGACATAGATTTTAAACCACTTTTTTCAAAATATCTAAAATAATTACATTAAATGAGAGCCAAATAAGTCAAACAGAAAGATGTTGTGTCGATAATTTGCGAAAACACATGCAAAGCACATAAACGTAGCGTTTGGGGATCAATTTTACAGCTTCATCCAAACGCAACCGCCTGTAAAAACGTGAAGCACAGGATCCTGCATTTAGGCATGCAGGCTCCCCTGCTGAATGGGTATAAAAATCAACATCAACGGCTGTTCATACAGTCCTTATAACGGCAGTAGAGGCGTTAACAGAATGCCAAGACTGAATGCAGCTCAACGGAACAACGCCATTGGGAGATTACAAGCTGGAGCAACTCAGCAAGAAGTGACCAGGCACTTTGGCGTATCCAGACAGACAATCTCGGCACTGTGGACCCGATACAACAACACCTACAGAGTTAACGACAGACCAAGGTCAGGAAGACCAAGGGTGACAACCCAAGCACAAGATCGATACATCCGGCTGCGACACCTCCGAGACCGCACTACCACAGCCACGTCTACAACCACACAGATACCTGGGGTACGCAGAATATCAGATCAAACGGTACGCAACAGACTGAGGGAGGCTGGACTTTTTGCACGAAGACCTGTTCGACGTCATGTATTGACCCCACGTCATCTGGCGGACCGTCTGCTTTGGTGTCATTAGAGGGTTGGATGGGCACGTGCAAGGTGGAGAAATGTACTGTTTACTGACGAGTCCCGTTGCCTACTCACACGTGCTGATGGGCGCGCACGTGTCTACAGACGTCAGGGTGAACGTTACGCCCCAACTGTGTGCAGCAGGTTGTCCCATTTGGCGGCGGGAGTGTCATGGTATGGGCCGGAATTCATAACGGTGGTAGGACGCCTCTCGTGCATGTGGCAGGTGCACTGACAGGTGTGCGTTGCAGAGACTTGATCCTACAGCCTTACGTTCTTCCTCACGTCAACGTTTATGGCGGACAGTTCCAGCACGACAACGCTCGACCGCATATTGCCCGTGTTTGTCAGGACTTCTTACAGCACAACAACATCCAGACATTACCTTGGCCAGCCCGGTCATCAGATTTGTCCCCGATTGAGCATCTGTGGGACGAGTTGGATCGACGCGTTCGCAGAAGGAATCCGCCGCCCCAAACACTTCCGGCGCTTCTTGAATGGCAGCACATCCAACAGCGTGTTATTGACAACTTGATTGCATCTATGGGTCGTCGGTGTCAAGCGGTGATTGATGCACGTGGTGGGCACAACCGATACTGACATTTTCTATACCCCTGTGACATTAACTGTATCGTGTACGTGTGTCTGTCTAGGTGACACGATTAATGTTTTGAACTTTGTGTACATTGATCTTCAAACAGTGTTTCAATTATGGTTTCTGTGTCCAATTTTGAAACAATCGCATTATATTACATTTTGAAAGTCAGTGTCAAGTTGTTATTTTTTAATTATATGTGGCCGTCGAGCAAGGGATGAGTTGCATGTAAACGATTTCTGAGATTAGCTGACTAGTCACCGATCGGTCTCAACCAGTTGCAAACATTTCGCCGTATCTGCGGTGAACAGTTGCCGATCAATCACTGACACGTTGCAAAACGGATTGCTGATTGATCGGCAATCATACCCTAATTCCAAATGTGGGCAGAAGTAGTTGCACCAGTCTCAGCGATCGCCAGTCGGTCGCACTAGAAATCAGTCGCCAGAGGTTGCATCGCGGTCGCATTGTCTGTGTGACTGCAACTCAAATAACAGCTGTATGATCAGTAGAAACGATAGGACTGACAGAATTAATGGTCCACAGAGCTTATCGACCTACGCACGAGTGTGGCGCTACTGTGTGCGGCACGTGCAAACTATCAAACGTGTTTTACAGACATGATATTTCATGCTCCCCTACTTTTTAAAAGTATAAAATAGTGGTACGTTAGGGAGGCATTGCTACAGCCATTAGATGCGTAAGTTAATCGCAAACTGAGCTGGAATACCCAGGAGATATATTTATAATATGTGTTATAATATGTGGGTTGTCTTTATAGTTTACAAGATAAATTAGGCGCCTACAATAAACAGTATCACTGAGGATGTTCAAAGAGTTTCTTGACGACTCCTCACATATTACAGTATTCAAGTCCATGGGTTCATCTAACAATGGATTATTGCTTGCCAGGCTACAGACTATTTAAATAAATAGGGTAAAAAGAATAAAAACATGCGAAAATCTGCACTGAAGGGGGGGGGGGGGGGGTAGAAGGACCACTTGCGTAGTCTATGTATGTACTCTGTGTATGTAGTCAATGTATGTAAGCTGTGTAAATATGCATATCATGTAGGCGACGTATATCCCACATTGGCACATGGCACAAATGTATCAGCCCATAGGTATAATTCTCCAGGACGCAAACCACGATTGAGATGGGTTTTCTATATGTATATTATTGGTGCAGGTTGCGCTGAACACACTATCCTGCATTTTCTATAATCACACATTGCCCATAAGGTAGTTGTTCACATAAGTCAACAAGTGGTGGTGTTACGGTACAATGCCCACGTATACGAGATAACGCCTATGTCATCGTGACCTGAGAGGAATCGATCTCAATGCATCCCATGACGGCTCGTGCGGGAGAGTGTAGGGTGTCCAACAGAAATGTGACACAAATAATATGGCAGTTGAAGTTGAAGTTGAAGATAGAATAGGTTTTCAGCAACACGTTTGCCGAATTAACTATGTTTACCGACAACAGAGAGGACAATGAAAAACAGATAATCGATAAACTACCGTGGTCGCGACGCCCTAGATTACAGATGCTAAATAGCATAAGGAAAATAGTGTAATGTTTTCCTCAAATAACTACACAAATAATGTCGTTTTCCTCATGCTTGCATCAGAGATTCCGCTCCAGTGCGTTACAGGTGTGATTAAATATTAAATGCTATTTACCATGGGGCCGACTACAGTTGACAGAGAATGCTTCTTATGGTTACAATGAAACACCGGCACAGAGGAATATGTGTAGCACAGTAACAGTGAAACCCTGTTAATCTGGACGGTACGGTTCCCAGAAAACTCATTGATATATTAACGTTTTACCCTACTTCCTTGACAACAGATCTCGTTCTGAAACGTGAGACAGTTAAGAATAACTCTGATAGTAAGTTTTCGTCGTGATGATAATCGTATTCATTTCTCTTCCATTGTTTTAATGTCAGCAGCATTGTTGCGCATTATTGAAGATGACGTGATCTATTTTTTGATACATCGCAGCTGTTCAGTTACTATAAATTAATCAGTAGGTTGGATCACGCCAAACATTAGGCTTGACAGATCGAGTGCAATAACTTTCGGTGCACATTTGTTCTTGGTCATGTGTACAGCACTTAGTACACAAAGCACGCGAAGTTAAGCAATGTTGGTTCTGGAGAGTAGTTGGAAGGACGGTTCTTTGTACGGCTTCTACTGCATCGCACTGAAGGACACAGTTCATATGGTGTCTTCTTAAGCAAGTGACTGTTTGAAATAAGCTTCTGTTCGTCCAGAAATGAACGGGTACCAGGTAGGATGAGATGGTTACTTGGCTGTTAACCTTTCAGCTATTCAAAGGCAAACTGGGGTTATACACCCTACTGCATTGTTCAGAACAATGTCACATGATGCCATGAATTGTAATGGTCTGTGTGTAGAGCTTTTGTAACAGAATGAGGATATCTGGCCATGGATCAA